TTTCTTGAAGCCCTTCTGGTCATTCATAAAGGAAAAAAAATGTGTTTAATTTCAGGAAATGGCCATTTTATTCAGAAAAGATGACTCTGAGGATCATTTTTCAGACTTTGAAAAAAATTATTTATAGGAACTTTGGAATATGTCTGTGGCAATGCAGCAAAAAATGAACCAGTTCTATTATACATAAGTACAAGGCAACCATGTCCCTTACTGCTCTTGTTGTTGGACATACTAGTACAAAAGGTAAAGAGTAATGAAGGAAATCAGGGAGTAAGCGCTTTGAAAATAATAATAATAAAAACCAAACCCAGCAACAAAGTTATATTACATGTTAATGGATATATACATTTTGCACTAGATATAAACAAAGCTTGGCAACTGTTACAAGTATCAACTGATACTTTGATTGAGGAGTTGGGTTAGAATTAAAATGCCCCGAACCAGAAATCTGGTTCCACAAGACAAATGATGAATTCCCATTGAAAACAGTAGAATAAATTTGCATACGAGTGCATTAATTAATCACCAAAAAGGGCTACTTAAAAAAAAGGAATTATTGAGCAATAAGCAACAATTCTTTGCAACAGGTTGGAGAAGTGAATATTCTACCATAAAGTTAGCAACTGAGAATAGATAGGACTTGTACAAACTGCTTTCCTTTATTTTTTTATGGCAACTGATTTTGTGATTATTTCAATTCCAGAAAAAACAATCAAAGGAAAAGGGCCAGAATATCCTTTTGCAGTGCTGTGTCTTGTGCTATGAGATACCAAAAACAGGTTGCCCAGAGAGGATGTTGAGGCCCCATCCCTGGAGGTGTTCAAGGACAGGCTGGACGTGGCCCTGGGCAACCTGGTCTAGTGGGAGGTGTCCCTGCCCATTGCAAGGAGGTTGGAACTCGATGATCTTCAAGGTCCTTTCCAACCTAAACCATTCTATGATTCTATGAAAAAAATGATATAAGGCAGCAAAAATAAGCCTCAATACTGAAGTGTTTCTCCTGTGAAAATAATCCATCAGGGATTCTAGCAGAATGGAAACCAGTATTTATGGTCTTTTGGTTAATGCAATACTTCAAAATTCTAGCTGTTAATTAACAACTAATTCATTATCAATCATTACTGAAGTAGGCTTATGATTAAAAATGTATTGAGTCTTAATTGAAAAAAGGGACAGATCTTGATTATGTCAGAAATAAAATTAAAATAATGGAGCTTTCATATTTGAGTCAAGTAGTAAAGCACTTCAGTAATGGTTCTGCTTCTCTTCTGTAGAGCATCTGAACATCCCAAGCTGCTTTACTAATCTAACGTAAGCAAGAGTCACCAATAGATGTTTTTCCATTTCACAGAACCCTGAGATTTAGAGACTTCTCGTTCCCACTGTTAGGGTAACAGCTTCATCTCACTGCAATGCATCCTAGCAAATTTTTATTCTTGGTCTATTGTCTGGCCAGTGGATCCATTGCTATCTTTAAAACATACCCAGATTTCTGAGTAAATGAAGGGGTTTTACAAGGAGAAATAAGCTTTAAACCACATAATTGCAGCTGATATTAAAAATCAAAAGTATGCTAAGTTCAAACGTAGACACGGTTGGTTGGCTGGTTGGTTTTTATTTTATTAAAAACTGCTCGTTTGGGACCTATCTAGAATTCGGTGCTTAGTCATGATGTTTCAACCATTAAGACATGGCTAGAACAAAAAGTCTTCATACCGTTTTTAGGAGAAAAACTCATAAAGCTATTCAAAATAAAGAGCACTGACTTTAAATACAAAGAACAGCAAAACATTGGATGGACCACATGGTAATTTTGGCTTCACATAACTAGGTAACATAATTTGAGCGTCTTTTGGTGAACAAAGTGGTATTTCCATGTCTTTATGAATAATGAAATATACAATATATGCAGTCTGTAAAAAATACAAAATAGCCAGGTCCGCACTTGTGATATGAGAAAGCAAAATGCTAAAAATCACCTGGAAGAAAAAAAAACAGAGTAAACTAAATGCAGAAAAATGAAATTACTTTAGTTTGGCTCTCATAACAACAAGAAGAAAGAATCCTACAACGTCAGTAATTTCTACTGTGAACTTTAGATACCTAACAACGGAAGGTTTAATGCGTCGCTTGAAAATAGTGTTAGATGAATGTTGTGGAGGATGACAAAAATGGGTAGTATATCTCGGACAGGAAAACAATACAACAGAGATACTGAAATAATTGAGATGATTTGATATCGACATGATAATCTGATATTTGTAGGACTAATAGACAGTTAAGAAGAGTGTAATTGAGGTCAATAATTGAATTACAGACTCCTTCCTTTCCTCTGATTTCCTATCCTTTCTACTGCTTTACTGGAGTGCTATCTAAGCCTATCTAGAAGTCATTCATTTCATAGTGGGGTGAATGCACCTCTATGACGTTCCAGTTGCTTTATACTTGTGTAAGGAGAGGAGGAAGAAAAAGACAACCAGTATATAGTCAGTCTAGAATGTGCTTTTAGCGTTGATCTATAACAACTAAGCTGTGGTACCTATCAAGACATTGTAAATGTATTACTGCGAATCCTCTAAAATGTTAACACATAGGGTATAGTTAATATTAAACATTTTTCTTTAGAAAAAAATAGGACAAGTAGAAACATTTTTAAAACAAAAAGTGGATTCCTGAATCCTGGTGTTTTGTCAAGGAACTAATTCTTTGGCAAATCTGCTGGCTGCTGTAGATCTGGTTACAGCTATATACATTTTAAACTCTTATCTCTGGGAGACTGTTCTCATGTTTTAGCTTTTCAAACTTGAGTGTTTTCCTCCCTATTTCCTCTCTGTATCTTAAGGACCTGTGTATTTACAAAAATTATGTATCAGATAGCAGCAGAATACATTCAAAGGAGGAGGGTACTGAAATCGTCACAGTCATTGTTCTTAACCATCTGAATTTCACATACACGATACCAGCTGTATCCTAGCATCTGATCTCAATGAAAGACTGAAGAAAAATTCGGTTTATTTAGCTTATCAAAGAGAAAGCTAAGCAGTAACCGGATCACAGTCCGTAATTACCGACACAAGGAAAGGTTATCTGATGCTAGAAGAGACAGAGACAAAGGTGTCACAAGATCTGGGGGCTAGAAGCTGAAGTCAACAGAGTTCAAAGTGAAAATAAGGTGCAGATTTTTAACCATTGCAGTTTAGCATATGAGGTAGTAATTCCACAGCTGGCCTGAATGGACGGAGCATATAGTCTCTGGAGTGTGTCTGGGGGACCTCCAAAGAAATCAAGCATGTTTTCTTCTTCAAGTGTTTAGTGTTTAGTCAGCGTGGAGAGCTGAGGTGCCATCAGCCACGGTGTTGCTCTAAGTCTTGTCTGTAACTTCTTCCCATGAAGACAGTACAGGGACCTCACTGTGTTCCTCTCCCCAGTTTCCTTCAAGGACAGAGCTAACATTTCGATGCTCTTCAGTGTGCTGAAACACATTCGCTTTGTTCCAGTCTATCTCTGAAATAGACTCATCATGGTTATGAGAAAAAAGTTATGGAGAACAAATTAACAAAAATCCATGGAGCTCTTTTAACACAAAGTGTACAAACTTAAATTAGCTTTTTTGTATATGAAGACACGTTACTAACTTGAAGCTATGTCAGTGAAAAAAACCAAAGGAATACAATTTCCATGACCGCAACCATGAAGGATTGTTGACAGCAGCAGCATATGGTCTCCCTAACATTTCCCTATTCAGAAGCTGGGGGAGGTCGTGAGTACAGAAAGCAAAGACCTCAACCGAGTGCGTAAAGCACTACAAACTGGTATACCAACAGTTTCTATGTATGTAATGAAGAACAGAGAAATTAAATCTCTCCAGTCCGAAACCTTCTTTTTGCATTTCCCTTTAGTGAAGGTGTTTGTTGCATTTCTTTGTTTCACTGGGACTGCAACTCTCTCAGTAACTGCAGCCGAGGGGAAGGCACAGCCTGCAGAGCCTGGGAAACGCAGCTGGATGTAGTGAGGGGATGGTCCCCATCCCAAACGACTGACTCCTCGTAGGATGGTGTCAGAGTCCCAGCTATGGGCAGAGCCCACCTGGGCAGAGGTGGAGGACTGAAGGCAGTCTTCCAGTTGATGAAAAGGATTGGAAAAGGCTTATTCTACAATGCTTGTTATTGTTGGAATGATAATTCACAGATGGGATAAGTTAATAAAGCTGATACTTAATGAAATTGGGTCTTTTTTGTCTGTTTTCCTGAACATCTCTAACAGTGAAAGAAGAGTGAAAAAGATTACTTAGGTATTAATAGTCTTAGACCAATACCTTCAGCAGAGAAACTGACAAATTGGAAAAACAATGCTAATTTTAAACTATTTTATTTTAAAATATTTTCACATTAATTTTAAAATGCAAATATACAAATTATTAAATTTTGTTCATGGTTTGGGATATCAGGTGTACTTAACTTTAGAAAAATCATTGTGTTGACATACCGTTCTAGCTAATTTCTGTATTTATTAATGGAATGGAGGGAGTTCTAATTTATGACCCTGAAATGGATGTGAATAGCGAGTTATACTATTTTGGTTGTACTTTGCACAAGATAACCTCAGAAGTAAATCTGTTATCTGATACATAACTGACAACTGTGTCATGCACACTGTTGAAAGAAAATACAGCTAAGCATAATTGCAACTGTGTCCATTACCCTGTGCTTGCTTGTAGAGTTTGGGGCTTTTTGAGGAAAATGTGTTGATGTGACTCATGAGAAACAGATCATAAGAGTATCAGGTTATGGTGCTTCCTGATATTCTTGATACTTGGATACAGCTATACTTGAATGCATTTTTTGAAAACATTTAAGTTCGTGTTTTAACTCATGTTTTTTAAGTGTTAAAGAGATACGATTAACTTAACTGTACTTCATTGGTGGGTAAAATTTACTATGTTCTTATGCAATATTTTAATGAAAAACTGCTAATGACTGTCACCTTGACTTTCTTTAAAGGTGCTTGCCTATACAGAAGGCCTTCATGGAAAATGGATGTTCAGTGAGATTCGGGCTGTTTTTTCAAGACGTTATCTTCTCCAGAACACAGCTTTGGAAGTATTTATGGCAAACAGAAGTATGTCTTCGTTTATTTTGTTGCATAAAAGTCCGCTAGTAGTTATTTTGTGTGTTATTTATTAATCTTAGAATTTACGCTCTATGCTTCCTTTGACCAAGTGCTTATATCTATGTTCAATAATGCTTACTCTTGCATGTATTCGTTGCATTTCGTATTAAAATCAATCACATAAATCAATCTCACTGCTTTCTGTGCAGCAGTGAGATTTATTTATAAAAAAAGATCATTGCAATTGGTAAATTCTTCAAATATTTTATAGGAAATTTGCTTTTTCTGTGATGTCACCCCTCTCCTCCATTTTCTGTAAATACTTTAGTGAAATATCTAAAAGGATATTTCCTTTTGTAATTATGGATGGAGGACCAGATCAATAAATGGATCCACTCAGTTTTCTGCATGGGCTACTCTGAATAAAAGTTGGGTGGTTGGTGAGGTGTGTCATTAGTCCTTTGTTCTGAGAAGCTTTGATGTAAATTTTTATTTCAACTGGAGAGGGAATTAAACAATTTCTGGCCCTGTGTGTTTTATTGTGCTGGTTAGAAGACCAAATGACATGCCAACTACTGAACAGCTTCCCAGCCTGATAAGAGGTTATATGTGTTAATGGTAAGCTGCGGTTCCTCTGAAGTATACCTCACTGCAAAATGGGAGAGTTAGTGCCAAAATTTTAACCAGCTAATGATACATGGGTATGAAGTATGTCAGGACTTTCTGTTCTAACTTGGATTCCCAGGAGGGTAAAAGTGGAACTGACTTCTCTTCCCAAACGAAAACCAAAGAACATTTTAAAAATATATGCAAGTGGAGAAACATGTTTCTGCAGATGGTTTACTAGTCCTTATTTTCTCTTCTTCATTTTAGCTTCTGTTATGTTTAATTTTCCTGACCAAGCAACAGTGAAAAAGGTTGTGTACAGCTTACCACGTGTTGGAGTAGGAACCAGCTATGGTTTGCCACAAGCCAGGTAATTTAATTCAAATAGTTTGTGTATTGTGTATTTATTATATTACACAAATTATATTTTTAAACATGTCAATACTAAAACATCATTCCTGTCCTGAAACTCCAGATTTTCTCTTTTTTAAGGTTAGTCTGAGAAACAATATCCTTTATTTACTAAATGGCCTGTTATTATGGAATACAAGTAAAAGTATTGTAAATTAGATTTTTTTTTTTAATCATTACAGGAAATAAGTACCTTCCAATGAAGGACCAGAAAAAGACTTTTACTTTATCTCTTCAAAGTCTAGTTTTCATTCAGGTTTTATAAATGCATGGAGAAATTTTCATCCTTGCTGTGATTGTTATGCAGGACATGGAACTAAACTTGACTAGGTTTTGTGTTTGCTGGAAGAAAATTGTTTATATATATATATATATCTTCTCACTTGCCTTTTATATAAATGTGTGTAGGTTTTACTTCATTGCTCATCAGTATAGTGGCTATTTTGCAATTTCCAAATTTCTTCTGTTCATTAGTATAATACATTCTTCTTCTGCTTCCAAAATTAAGGAGGTTATATATTTTGGAAAAGACCAACTAAGGTTCAGTTTTAGAGATTTTCACATACTGTGGACAAGTACAGTTTTTGTTATCTCATCAACATCAACATCATATCAGCCTATGGTCAAAATAAGGCTAGGAATTGTCAGACTCTATACTGTAAAAGTATTCATATTTCGGTGATGGGTAAGATGATCTTCATGTGTACCTCACTGAATTGGGAGGGAAAATTTCCTGCCTCAATTTTTTTTTTTTTGTTTGGAAATGTCTGTTCAGACCTAAAATTGTTTTTGAGGGTGTATCAGCAGAAGTTTGGTGAAAAATGTTTAGATTCAGGATTAATTTCTGGTCAAAAGAAAAGCATAATAAATATATATAAGGGAGTAAGGAACCAGTAGGAAATACACAAAATATGGTGCTTTGGGTTCAGAGCTCCATTTGTCTTGACTTAGCCAAAAGCCAATCACTTGATCATCAGTGTAATGTCTGGGATGTGTCTTTCTCTTTCTTTAAGTCATTTCCTACAAACTAAGACTTCATATTGTCCTTGTTTTATCCCAATGCAGAATGTGGAAATACTCTGGAGTGTCAAAGCATTTGTAGGATTGGAGAACTATTTTGTTCCCAGCTGAACATCATTCCCTGTCATGAGCTCAAGAGTCTCATGATGCCTAAGGCTTGATCTTCTGAATGTGCTGAAATTCTTAGGCAAACTGCCAAATTTCTCAAGTTTTCACTGAGATCAAGGGGAAGTAGGGGCATTTCTTTGGAAGGTGCATCTTGTTAATATTTGCATTGCTCTTCCAAATTCTCAAATTAAAGGAATTGCTGTCTCTAAATGGAAAGTAATAATATTCTTCTCTGAAATAAAAATGGCCACATGTTCTAGAACAAACAAAATGCAAATTTCTCAATCAGAATTTCATATCCACAGTGACATTTTTTACTTTTGAAATTCATATCCTTTGTGCATTATTCAGTGAATAATTGTCTGAAAAAGTTTGTTGATATATAATTACTTAGAAAAGTTTCAGCTTCACTATTATATGCAGTTATTTCCATACCTTTTTGATTAAAGTTAAATTTGAATCGAAAATGGGCTTGCTAGCCTTCAGAATAAATCTGGCATGTTGTAGTGAAGATGTTTTTCTTTCTTGTTTTTGCGTAATCAGGGTATGACTTATACACAATAAAGACCCTGTAATCATATTTTTTCCTTTTTTTCTATCTACGTACCCTTATTGTCTTCAGTAGGATTGCAGGGAAGTAATTTCAGGGAAAATCCGTCTCTATAACTGTTCTGTAGTTAATATTTTGTTGATGTTAGAATATAGTTTCCCTTCCTATGAATATGTTGGCTCTGGAATGCTAATTTTTAAAATTATGCTTATTTGTGTAACTAACATAAGGAGAAATTATGCTGAGTAAGCCAAAGGAGCTGCTATGTTGAGTAAAATGTTATCCTTTTTATGACTAATTTTCCAGATTAAGCTGTACTTTAAAATATTTGAACAAAAGCAGATCTTCTGATTGTTTTGCTTAAGTTCTTTAGTTTTATTTTTGTAAGTAATATTTCCTCTCTGATACTACTCTGATAAACATTTCATCTAAAGTTAATTACTTTATCATAAAGAATCGCGTTTGTGATGGAAATGTTCTGGAGGGGTAAATTACTTTTAATGCAGTACATGGACTTTAAGTGCACTTCTGTTTTCATGGAGAAATCCTGCGATTAACAAAGATGGAAGGAAATAGAAGGAAAAAGCAATATTTATGATCCTCTAATGGCACAAAGGATTAGAAGCAGGTGGACTGGTATCTCTTCCCCAGACTGTTACAGAGCTGCTGTTCTGAGGAAGTCTCCTGTTTGCCTCTTTGCTGCCTTTTCCAACAGCCCGTCTAATGCTTTGATTCAACAAAGCATTCAAGCCTGTGCTTAACATTACAAAGAAGTAATTACATCTCCCAATTAGTCACACGTTGAAGAATTTGGTCTGATTTGGTAATCAAATTTATCTGTCTTTGATAAATGCATTTTCACTGTTCCTGAAACGTGTTGCATTGACTCTAGTTTTGTTATGACCTTGCCATATGATACGATTGGGCATACAGTACTGTGCTTTCTATTTGACCTATTTCTACAGTTCCACACGATTCTACCTAGGTAGAGTAATATCTGCATTTTTACAACACTATCTGCAGGCCACTTTTTAGGGTTCTAACACCTCAGGTGTAATTTACTGATGCATTTTTATTGAGGGTAACATCACAGCTTAGCAACAACTGTGAGCTGCCTGATGGTTTTGTAAGTGTACAGAGATCAAAGAACTGGTAAAAGATACAGTACCATATTTCACCGCTAAATATGTGCCTACCACTGTCCACTGAAATTCTGTGGGCTATCAATGCATTAAATAAAACAATGGCTCCAGTTATTAAAGCTAAGAAATATAAATGATTAAGTTTTTGCTGAAAGAAAACATATTTTGGCTGGTATGGTAACTATATTCAACGTCAGCTCAGGTCTGCCACTTATTCTGCATCAGTAGCTTGGTGATGGATTTCCAGATCTCAGTATAGCTGGTTGCAGAGGTTGGATTTGGGGAAGGGAGAGGGATATGAAAACTAAGATTTGATGTCCTCAAAGCATAAAACTCCTTTTATGGCTTTGATTAAAAGTGAATATTGATGAGTCTCCTGTCAGAAGCCAGTGACTTTCCCAAGCCTTTTTTTTTCTTTTTCTGAACAGGAGCAGCACAACACAAAACATCACACAAGTGCTACGTTTTTGACAAGATACTTAAAGATTCCTTGTATGAGATTGGGTTGTAGCTAACTAAATTAAAAGTAATTGTGAAAGGCGGTGGGTCATGCTCCATATACGGGATATATAACATCCCTTCCTTCAACAAAATGCCATGAAATGTTTTGTAAACATACTTAAAGCATATAAAACTTGAAAAAATGGATCATCCCCTTGCACATTAGAGAGTCTTCTGCAGTTTCCATTTTGAGTAGGTATTTCATGGTTCTCTAGAAGCGAAGAAAGCACACTCATTTATGCATCTTCATATTGGTGATGGCATATCGAAGGAGAGAAATGGTTTGATCAAAGTTGGGTGGATTTAGCAAAACACAAAACAGTGGGTCTTCCTGTGTTAACTGAAACAAGCAGGTGTGGAACCAATTTATTGTGCATAATTTTTTCCAGTCTCTGCTGAAATAACTGTGAATCTTTCAAACACCTTAGATACAGAGTAAATAAGGAGCTTTTTTAGTATATTTTGATTTTCTGTAGAATTCACTCAAATCAGGTATTCAAATGTGAAGTCCAGAACTTGACACTTTATAGATTTTTGAGACTCCCTGGGAGATTTTGAGTAAAGTCTAAAAGCAGCTACTAAGCTGTACTGATGCATAAATGTTGTTTTGTCATGGGAGGAACAGAAAGTCTGTGACAGAAATGCTTTGTAAATTATGATCTCTTTAGTATTTTTGTTTTCTGTATTTGTTAATTTGCGTAGCATTAGTCATAGTTTACTGGGAACAATACGTCTTTGAGAGTTCCACTGTAAAGGTAATGGTTACCGTAAAATGCAATGTAAAGTATAATTACATTCAGATAACTCTTTAGGTAAATTGTTCGGAAGAAGCGTAATAGAAACAACTTAAAAAATTTTTGTAATGTCTCTTGTGTACTAGTAAAGCGTATCTACCATTGGCATCCTAGAGTCTACTGTAAAATAAGGCTAGCCAAGCTGGCAAGACCTTATTTACTGCTATTTTGGGTAAATACAAGTGTACCTACACTTGCATGGTCATTTTTGTATGCCCAGTTTGTAAGCCTAAGTGTGGCAGACATTGACAACCTACATATTGACAATTTAGACATATAATTGTGATAACTGTACACACACAAATTGCATAACAATACTCATCCTTTCTCCAGATATAGTGTTAGTGCATGTGTAGGAGTATGTACAGATATCTTTAGAAGTAGATGGTCCACTTTTTTGTAATTGCTGCCCAATTTGACACCTTGTATATGACTTTATTTTAAGAAAATAATCAGCACTCAGAGTCTAGAAGTAGTACACTTAGTGTGTTTAGTGTGCAACTGAAAGCTGAAGCATTCGGTGTCCCTATTTACTCTTGACAAGCTATATAAATACTAGAGATATTCTTTAAATTCATGAATAGGCTACACATTAGGGTTCCTCTGTTGTTTTTTGGGTTTTTTTGATAGGTATAAACATTTTCTCTGTTTTGATCCATTTATAAGATTTAAGTTTCTGTAAAAAAAAGTATCTGAAGAGATGAATTTTTTCTCTTTCCAAAGATTTGCCTTGTCTTTTTTTTTCAGGAAGGACTATTTTCTCCAGAAATGAGTTGTGAGCAGTGAGGCTGTCTCTGCTTGTGGCAGATTTTTTCTTTAATGCATTAGTCTAGACTGAATCTAGTCCTCTATATTTTAGCAACCAGGGACAGTATATGCTATGGGAAATTTAGAAGTTGGTGCACAGTATTTGGTTATTGTTATGTTGTCAAATTGAATATAGAAGAGCTGAAATTTTCTGCTTTTCCCTTCCTTGGCACAAGTTTTAGAAAATGTGTGGAAACTGAGTATCTTGGAAGCTTCTACTCCTCTTCCAAATTTGAATGAAATGCCATTCAGAAGTTATTATGGAGAGATAGGCAGATGGACATGTGAGCACATAACCAAATAAACCTTGTTTCTTTCAGAAACCAGGCTATAAATAGAAATCTTGAGGCTTACTGGGATATAGGAAGGGGCCATGGGTTGCTGACCATGGAGGAGGTGCACAAATCGTGGAATATCTTCAACCCATGTGCTGGAAATATATGGCACTTTAATCTATCATTCACTCACCTTAATGAACTTATCTCAATGTATCCTTTTGAAACAGGGAAATGGTATTCCTCTTTTTTTCCTGCTGGTCAAGCCAGGCACCAGGAGGTCTGCAGTTTCTTTTACTTCCAGTCATTTAACCAGATCCAGAATAAAATAAAACACAAAATATATTATTCTGAATTATTACAATGCTGTAGTACTGGTAAAATAAAATGCAGATCTTAATTTTAGTAATTTCTCAAATAAGGCTAATAGTGTCTTCTTGACTTCATTAAACAAAATAAAAAAGCCTCTGAGAGAATCTGAAATTAATCACACTAATAACGTTGCCCTACATCTTAACATTTAATAAAGAAAATCATTCTTTAAATGTGTTTCCTAGGAGAATCTCTCTGGCCACTCCCCGACAGCTTTATAAATCATCCAACATGACTCAGCGCTGGCAGAGACGGGAGATATCTAACTTTGAATACTTGATGTTCCTCAACACTATAGCAGGTAAGGCTTCTGACTCTTTAATCCTTCATAATGTGTTTGTGTTTGTCAAAGTCTTAAGCACCGTGACTTGATAGAATACATTCATCCCTCTAGAATTCAGCTACAGCTTTATGATAGATTTTGAAACACACACATTCAATTTTATCAGAAAATGCACAACGTATCACTGAGGCTTTAGATTCATGTATTGTTGTGGAGGCTGTTCCTTACTCCCTTTCTGCCATTTCCTCTGCTGACAGCTTTGTCTGAAGCTTTATTAGAGTCAACAAACCATTGCCAGAGAGTGTCTGGAAATAATAATGGGAAAATGTAATTTCGCTACTTCATCATTCTCAGCAACAGCAACTAGACAGCAGAATAACAACAATATTCTGCCTAGTACAGATGTCACCTGGATTGTGGTATGATTAGATTACAGCATCTTTTCTCGTTTAGTTCTTTGAGCTGAAATATAATATCAGATTAGGTATTTAAAATGAGAAATAACTGCCATAGACATCCATTCATTATTGGCAAAGACGAGATTTTCTGGCAATTGTCATTAATTAACCATACACAATGGCATTTTTCCATTCACCCTTTTAGTGTTAACTCCTGTGGTAATTTTAAATATAAAACCCAGCAGTTTTCTCCACCATGTACAAAGATTTCCTGGAGGTTGTCCACTATTACAATTCCTGCCTGTATCACACATGCTGCTTATGAACCTGCCTGTGGAGAGACTTGCTCAGACATTTCACTCCAGTGAGCTTTAATTTGAAACTCAAATTAAATTCCACCAGGCATCGCTTTGTACTCCAGTGTTACAGCTTTCATCTTTACTTGGTCCTAACTTTTATGCCTGATGTTATCCTCGGGCCAGATATAAGACAAATGTAAGTGCAAAGCCCAAAGGTCGCACCTGTAAGTACCCGTTGCTCTGACCAGTCTGAGGACACTCACTGCGTTCTTCCCAGTAGGGCAGTGGCAGAATTCAGGAGCTGTCAAACCGACTTACTTTGAACCTTCAGGCTTTTCGCCTCTGTGCTTATATGGTAGTTACCTTCCGTGCATCCAGTCTTACAGACTTTAATAAATGTGTCATCAAATTATCCCAGTGTGATACAGAAGTGCTACCACTGAACAGTTGGATATCTGAGGGCATGTTTACCTTGTGCAGTGGAGCACAAAGCAGAGTCCCTGAAGCTACTGGAGACCTGGGCTGGAAAGTCCATATGGCGCAGTCCCGTGCAGGCGCACCAGCTTGGTTCCCGAGCATTATAGCCACAGTCCCGCAGATCTCTGCCGAAGGAAGCAGCCCTGCTGAGCGTTTATTACCTCTGGCGCAGCGCCACAAGAATGCTGCTATCCTGCTTCTGGACACTGGCCTGCCTCCAGCCGCTCCGCGTCTCTCGCACATCCGCTGCCCTTCTGGTGATGAGAAAATGCAGACAGAGCCTCACAGGCTCTCCTGACCACCTCACCCGAACTGGGAGGGTTTAATGGAGAGCTGGGAAGTTAGCTTAAGTCCCCTCAGTCCCCCTCCAATACATTATTGACAGAACTGTCCTTCTCTTGTAATTTCCTTTTTATGTATTCATTTCTTCTGTAAGCAGTGTGTCTAAACGCTTTAAATGAGAGTAGACAGGAGCTGAGCCAATTTTTGATAAATTACTTTTAATTTTTAATCAGTTTAAAACTCCCAGGTCATTTATTTTTAGGTATATCACCAAATCATGCAAATCTGGAAGACATCATTGTGTCTGAAGTCAATTAGGAATTGCAGTGACACTTACACTAAAGTATCCATCAGTAAACAAGCTTCAGCCTGAAGGGATTCCTTCACAGTACCTCATAGGTCTCATGAACAATGGTTTTTGGCGTGTTGTTTGATACTAGCGCTGCTAGGCAGCCTTTAGAGCCAAACACCTGGGTGGTTGCATGAGGCAAGTTTCTTATAATGTCATCTAATGTCATTCACCTGCCTTGCAACAGGATGGTCTGCCATTTGCATTCCAGGTACCACCTGCTATGCCCAAGGTTTGAAGGATTACTGACTCTATGGGGTTTTTTTTGGGGGGGAGGGTGTCGATAAGCTTGTACTGTATTTGGAAAAGCTTACAGCAGCTTAGTCAGTCTCTCTCTGATTCAAAGCACTTAATTTCTGGCAGATTTTTTTGGTATCAGTCTCTTACTGGTAAATCTCATTTGTTCATGTAATCTCATTGTTGTTAATTGTATAAGCTCACTTGCTCATTTTCACAGCATTACCTACCATCTTATGAAGTGTTTTAGCAGTGCATGATCAAATTCAAATTCAAATTTAGGTAAAGACCATATTCCCTGAAAGAGAGGGAGGTAAATTTGAGTCTCTAGAAGAAATTCAACTTAACTCTTTGTCTCCATTTTGTATTGACTGACTTATTTTGTAAAGACATTCTTTTTAATGATGCTTTGAGGTCATATGGATCAATAAATATATGTTTTCTGAAGGAGAGCAAATATGCTGATTTTTAAAAGTTTTCGAAGTGACCAGCATTGGATAAATAAATATTAATACCCATGCACACTCTTCTGTTCAGATGTGAGGAACGTGTTGAGTGGCATTTGGAGATCTTTTTCTTGTCATAGAGAATATCTCTTATTCTGAATTTTATTTTGAACCCATATGCATTGCTTGGCTTTTGCTAATGGGTCCTTACCAATCTATATATTTCATTATCTGTTTTCAGTTCCCAAGAAGGGTGGCGGGCATCATGTTATGTTGGGAAGAAAGTATCACTGTACCATCTCATAAAAGATTTTGGAGGGATGTCTAAAAGCAGCTGAGATTCTTGGGTGCTTTCTTTTTAAGCTGTATCATTGAGGTTCTATCAGCAAGAGTGCTGTCACATCTGATAGTGTTCCAGCAGGATTAGTGAAATAAAGGTTCCTGCTG